ATCACTCAGACTCCCAGACAGTCCTAGCAAAATTTGCTTGAATTCTCTTGTAGAAGATTTTTTTGTTCTTTTGACAATTTTATTGAAACAATCTCAGTGAAGTTATATTTTTACCAAAATTTTGATGAGAAATATTAAGTTTGGCCTGCATGGTGACATCACTAGGTGGTAAATTAGTTAATAGACCAATAACAGCTAGTTTTAAGTTCTCCCTCCTCCCACTCAGACCACTCCCAGACAGTCCTAGCAAAATTCTTGCTTGAGAAATTGCTCTTTGCTAAGAAGATATTTTTGTTTCTTTTTGACAATTTTAATTGAAAACAATCTCAGTGAAGTTACTTAATTTTTACCCAGAAATGATTTGATATTGAGATAAAAACGGCCGCATTGGGCCTTTAACATATCAGAGTGTTGTTCTAATTACCAAGGCCAACAATACTATAACGCTGTCTGTAGGATGGTGCAGAGCAACCCCATAGTGCGGGCCACCATGGCCGGGGTCATTCAAGAGATACAGAGGGTAGGGGGAGGTGGCAGTGCCGGCAACACCGGGAGGCAACAAAGAGGACATATTTTGACACCCTTTCCTCACACTGAGGTAAAAGACCCATAGCCACGCCCTTAAGCTCCTGTACAACACTCACTTTCTCCATCGAGATGGGAGCGTGGAGCTTCTCCCAAGCCTGAGGTCAAGAATTCACCATCTCCCTTTCCAAAGGTAGACCAGGGTAAGGCAATGATTCCATCAGTGATGGCTCAACCCAGTCAAGATGACATAAAGTATCTTCTCTACAAAGAGGCGATAAAGGGCCTCCCATGCCCACTCCCCACAACAGGCAAGGTGCGAATCCGCAGCTATGAGGAAAGGAATGGGGTGGGGGGGGACAATAAATACAATACAATTAAATACAATAAAAAGGGAGGATAGTGAAGTTTGAGGATGTGATGTTTACCAAGTCATAAGAAGGTTATGGAGTGTTTGTGAAATAGTTGACTTGACTGCTTCTCCAGAGGGTGGGTCACTCCCCTTCCATCCTTCATTGTAAAAGTGTATGTTTATGGAGAGGGGGAAGAGTATATTTGGGAGGGGGGATAAACTAATGGAATAATTCTAATGTCCAGTGAAACTATACTAGACGTATCTAAAAACAAAGTGACAATTTCCCCACTACGGTAGACAAAAGTAATACAACTAATCAACAAACATTTTCTTGCATTGGTAAGTAGGAAACCTTGGCGTGAGTTAAGGTTGAGTAAGGATTCAGGGATGATCTCTAAAGTACTATCACTTCCTCTAATGCATCATGTTACAGTATGGCTACAATGTTGCACATCTGGTTAGGTGACAGTGTACAGAGGCACCTGGAGTCAAGTAACTATTTGTCCTGGGAATCTCATTCCTCTTAGGTTAGTTACAACTGGGGTTGGAGTGAAAACCTACAGGAGGGTAGCGCTCCAGGAACAGGTTTGGAGAGCCCTGGTGTACCTAGTAAAAAGCATTTGTTTGTATCATTTATGACAAGAAATTGTTCATTATTTCTTACTCTTAATAATAAAATAGATACTGTGTTATATCCTCTTTACAACTAGCCTGGCTGGTGCGACCCATGTGACTACACAGCGAAGAGCTATGACCGAGAGCTGGTGTCAGCCAGACTACTTTACAACAGTGTACAAAATGGCCTCTTGCAAGACTGTCAACCAGAGCCGTGTTCAGCTACAGAAAGGGTATCCCACTCACAGTTCATCCACTTTACCCAGTCAGAAGGAACTTCAACACAGGTGTTTGACTAATCTTTTTGTTTATTAATCATTGTATAAGGCCACTCTGGACTGTGCAGACTTAATTGAGAGAGGAGAAATTAAATCACATTGTCCTTGTTACATTTTCCCTGCACTGCGGTGAGCTCCATCTCCTGGCGCAGTCACCCTGGACAGCATATCCACATCATAATGGAGTGAAAGTCAAGTTATACATCAACTGAAGCAAACTAAAGAGCACAAATAGACATGATAACACGATATCATGATATAATAAACCACTGCATGAAGTGTTAGAAGGTACATACTGTACAGTACATGGTGCATAGCATACGTCTTACGAATCACTACACAAGCATACACTGTAGCATGCTTCAGGAAACTCAAATGTGAAGTCATGTCATAGTGGTCTGTGTGTGGTTCTCTGTACATTCCACTCATCTAATACAGGGTCTGTGTGTCATGCATAATTAGGCTTCATATGGAGTAGAAAAGGTAAAGACATAGCCTACATAGTGAAGCAGGTCATCCAAGAGATTCCAAGATCAGATAGTTGCACACACATAAAAACACACAAACCTCAGCATACCTGCAGTCAGTGGAAGCCCATCTATCCCTATGCCAGCACGCAACCACCAGCACAGCTATCAGGCATCCAATGCTTTCTCTCTAAGCCATCTTTGGTTTCAGCCAAGAGGCCTGAGTCCTCTATGTGATGCACACACAGAGGTTCAATTCCCAGGAGGGATCTAGTGTAAACAATCATATTGGTCAGGGGGTCCAGACAGCGTGCAAAGAGGAAAGTCAGGGGACAAGCTATGCAGTGAGGAGGACATGGCACTGGGGAATTCTATGGGTGACAGATTTTAGCTATTCATTCACCATATGAAAAATGTTATTTGTGCTAGTGGGGAAATGCTAACCCAGTATACCTATATCAATCTTTAAATCAGTGCTTCAGCAGAATCAGTACAACCAATAAGTGTACTACACACAGTCAACTGGCACTAGTTTCCACATCACTAATCAGTGCCTGATTCCGTTTATAGACCTAATTCATTAAATTATAGTGGTTTCTGGTCATCCATGGACAAAGTTCCTGCTTTTCAAACCTTTCAGACAATTTAGAGTATGGAGATAGATCCCAAGTCTCTAACTATGGAGAGCCCACTAGGACTTGAATCCCTCGGTTTAAAGCTACATTGACAATCACAGGAAACCAACATAAAAAGCTCCATAAGGTAATAAACAAAAACATAAAACACAATGGCAAAGACAAACCAACATTCTGATGTGAATATAGCCAGCCCACCTGAAGGCAGTGCATTGATCATTTCACTTGCACCTATTCTATTTGACAAAGGCAAAATGCAACCCCACATCAATGCTATCTAGAGATTTAAGGAGATGATAACTGGAGAAAACACACATTGTGATTGTATAGATAAGATGAAACCCAACCATACCAAAAAGCTGTTGCAGAACTGTGAACCTACTGTGAGAAAATCCTTCAATATCAGCCTGATATTCAGGGCCTGTATTGTGCAAGTGCCTCAGACTAGGGGTTCTGATCTAGGATCATTGTTGCCTTTAAGGTCATAATTAATTTTATTATATGAACACGGAGAACCTGATCCTAGATCTGCACTCCTACTCAGATGCTTTATGAATACGGGCCCAGGGGGTGACTACCATGCTAATTGCAAACAGCACTGTTCCTGGTCAATATTCAGGGTAGCAGCTTCACTTCATATAATATTAAACTGTAAAATCAGAGTTACATATGGGTCGTTCCGAAAATAGTGCCTTTTGCGTGCGTCCCTTTGATATATTAAGTAGGAATTGTGGACAAATATTGAATTTACCAACTTACACTACTCAAAAAGGCACCTAATTGGCGGAAAGACCCCTATGCTATTGCATTATCAGTGGCTTAAATAGGTTTTTCATTTATCTATTCTATCCCCTAGTCTTGCTATCACTAGAAACCGGTTCCATTCATAGCTCTCGACCTGAAGTTCTACTAAAAGGACAAATAGAACAAGACAGGTTTTCTAAGGCAACGGGGGTTTTCGGCAGCGACCCTGGCGCTGCAGATATATAAACTCATTGAGTCAGTCCTTTTCCTCTTCTCTACCATAAGTCCTTTTCATAGGAGTCAAAGTCAGTGGAGTGGTGAGATACAGCTGGAGAAGCTCGAGAATCAGACCTAGGGTGGAGAATGCTACAGTAATTCATTCAGACAGACAAAGCCTCGGCCCACAGATTATATCTAGGCAGTGGAGAGCATTGGTCTTCAGTTCAGAGTCTCTGCTATGCTATTGATAATGCTGATCAGATCAGAGGAAGGAACAGAAGGAAAAGGCATGTGTGTATAATGGCCTCTAGTCCACTAGGGGGAGCCACCCACCTCTCCCCACTGTAGGCATTGATATGAGGTTCAGTTGAAGAGTGAAGGCAAAGAAAGCAGCGCTTTAAGGGCCCAGGGCCCCTCTGCCACATCCCTGCTCTCAGGCATAAGTTAGGAGGGGAGAGTCAGCGGCGGGAGGGTGGTGGATGGGAGTGGAGTGGGTAAAGGTGGTCCAAGTCAGTGGTTCGTGGGTTGGTTCTGTTGTTCCTGTTGGAGCTTGGCTGGAGATTTTGCGGGGGCTTCGACCGGCGGCTTGGCTGGGGCTTTGGCAGGGATCTTGGGGGACGGCGGCGTGGCGTGCAGGCCGGCCTCGGTGCCGATGTGCACAGTGATGTTGGTGTAGAGGGGGAAGTGGTCACGTGACAGCACCTCGTACTCCACCGTGTTCATGCCATCCAGCTTCCACGTCTGACGCGTCTTGGCCAGCATGTTGAACCTAGGGGAAGGGAGGGAGAGGGGAGTTTAGTGATGGACTGGGGGTTTATTCAACAGACCTAGGTGTTATTCGATAGAGGGCAACATTCAGAGGTAGCAGATGGAAATTAAATGTACAGATAGGCAGCACATTCTATTTTAAAGAATCTGAACGTGTCACCCTACTGACGTGTCAGTCCTGTACCATACCTCCTGGGGTTCACGTCGTTTCCCTTGTCCAGCTTGTGTTTGATCATCTTGTAGCGGCCCACCTTCACCGATGGACGAGAGATGATCATCCCTCCTAGGGATACTCTGAGAATGGGAGAGAGGGAAAGAGAGAGAATAATTTTAATTGGGTTATTATCTATTATAAATAATAGGATTATTCAGTGTCTCTTTAAATTGTATCATTTTGTTAGACAGAACAAACCACAATGGGTCCATAGCTCAATGAACTGGCTCAATATTCCACCCCCAAAACCCCCTAGGACCCCCTCTCACCTGACTCCAATGTCATCGTCCTCTCCTCCCCAGCCCCAGTAGTTGTTAGGGAAGCCGTTCATCTTCAGGTAGTGCAATGGCGACAACGCTGACACCCCTCCGAAATACATCTTGTATGGTAGCCTAGGAGAATTACAGAGGATTAAAATAAAAATGAAGGATCAGATAGGGAACAAGTGAATTCAGATGAAATCAGAAATGAGTGAAGCCACGCATAATGAAAAAACTAGAGTCTTCACTGACAACTAAAATGTAATACATTTTGTGTTAAATAAACTTGTGAAAATCCAATGAGACTTATGGTGAAAAGAGGGGAAAAAGAAGCAAAAAAAAGAGAATGGACTGACTTGTATCCAAACTTGTCCATGGCGATGGCGGCGTGCTTGGGGTTGGTGTCGCACATGTAGGTGTTGCGGTCGTCCTCAGGGATGAGGTCCACATCATGGAAGAACAGGCAGTCCCAGTCCTCCTCCCGCATGGCCTCCCGGAACCCAACGTTCATCAGCTTGGCCCGGTTAAACGTGTAGTTACCAGCCTAAAGAGTACAGACATGGTTAAACGTGTAGTTACCAACCTACAGAGGTATTTGGCCTTTAGAGACCCTTATGTCAGCAACAACCTTCAAATATTCAATATTGACATGGTTTCCATAGAAATTACAACAATATGAACGTTCAGTATTTCCCCTAGGATTTTTTTTAGCAGCGGTGGCAAGGGTAGCGGGGTGCATTGCTGCAAGCGGTAGCGCAATGACATGCTAGCTGTTCCCATAGACTTCCAGTCATTGAGCTAATGACTCTCCATTTAAAAGCGCGTCTCAGCAGAACGATAGATAGGAGATAGATAAAGATATCCACTACATGGCAAAAAGTATGTGGACACCTGCGTGTCGAACATCATTCCAAAATCATGGGCATTAATATGGAGTTGGTCCCTCCTTTGCTGCTATAACAGCCTCCACTCTTCTGGGAAGGCTTTCCACTAGATGTTGGAACATTGCTGAGGGGACTTCCATTTAGCCACAAGAGCATTAGTGAGGTCGGGCACTGATGTTGGGCGATTAGGCCTGGCTTGCAGTCGACATTCCAATTCATCCCAAAGGTGTTCGATGGGGTTGAGGTCAGGGCTCTGTGCAGGCCAGTCAAGTTCTTCCACACTGATCTCGACAAACCATTTCTGTATGGACCTCGCTTTGTGCACAGGGGCATTGTCATGCTGAAACAGGAAAGGGCCTTCCCCACGAAGTTGGAAGCACAGAATCATCTAGAATGTCATTGTATGCTGTAGGTTAAGATTTCCCGTCACTGAAACTAAGGGGCCTAGCACAAACCATGAAAAACAGCCCCAGACCATTATTCCTCCTCCACCAAACTTTACAGTTGGCACTATGCATTTGGGCAGGTAGCGTTCTCCTGGCATCCGCCAAACCCAGATTCGTCCGTCGGACTGCCAGATGGTGAAGCGTGATTCATCACTCCAGAGAACGTGTTTCTACTGCTCTAGAGTCCAATGGCGGCAAGCTTTACACCACTCCAGCCGATACTTGGCATTGCACATGGTGATCTTAGGCTTGTGTGCAGCTGCTCGGCCATGGAAACCCATTTCATGAAGCTCCCAACAAACAGTTATTGTGCGGATGTTGCTTTCAGAGGCAGTGTGGAACTCGGTAGTGAGTGTTGCAACCAAGGGCAGACGATTATTACGCGCTACGCGCTTCAGCACTCGGCGGTCCCGTTCTGTGAGCTTGTGTGGCCTACCACTTTGCGGCTGAGACGTTGTTGCTCCTAGACGTTTCCACTTCAAAATAACAGCACTTACAGTTGAGCGGGGCAGTTCTAGCAGGGAAGACATTTAACGAACTGACTTGATGGAAAGGTGGCATCCTATGACGGTGCCATGTTGAAAGTCGCTCTTCAGTACGGGCCATTCTACTGCCAATGTTTGTCTATGTGTGCTTGATTGTATTCACCTGTCAGCAACAGGTGTGGCTGAAATAGCCAAATACACTAATTTGAAGGGGTCTCCACATACTTTTGGCCATTAGTGTATATATCATATTTGGCCCCCGCTGCTAAATGAATATTGGGTAAACACTGACGTTGGTTCCATACATGACAACACAATGACATAGTGTCCATACAACAATAATGGGTAATTGGGTTTACCCAAATATATGGAGTATGCGACTTCATTTTTATACAGTTTACTCTCCGTTAGTAGTCTCGAAAACCTGACCCTAGGCAACACAGTGACTAGGGTCTGGTTTCAATTATGGCCTCTTTTGGCATAGAGGAAATACGTCACTGCCTAGGTCACTACTTTATCTGCTTGAATAAAATACAAAATAGTAGCTAGCAAGATGGAAATCAGAGGTAATTTTTAATGAGTGCATTTCGCAAGTGGCTAGTTTGCATCAACTACCATTATTAAAACCACTGGAAAGGTTTTGCCTGCAAACTTTGGTTTTGAATCGCAATGTGGATCGCATTAGTGGAAACCAAGACTGTTCTCAGGGCTGGTTGTAGCTACATATTTTCGAGTCGTGTCGGGGACAATTTCAGCTAACCCTAGTCCTTTTCCTAACCTTAACCCAATTCTCCTAACCTGCTACGTTAATTCTCCTAACCTGCTATGAAAAGTTACTTCCGCTAGTCAAAACCGGCAGACCTGCCCTGAGAGCAGTGAAAGTATCCACTAATGCGATACAGCGTTCTGCCTATTTTTTTCCCCCCTTATCGAATTACTAGTTCCTCTATGCCAGAAGAGTCCATTGAAACCAGACCCTAGTCACCTGCAACTATTCAATACGGAAATGAATTGTGTAGTCTACATACAATGAAATCAACAGTTTGATTATTTACAGTACAACTGATCATTTGTAAAAATATCACAGCATACACTCAAATAATATTCGCTACTCTAAACTAAAATTAGGGTTTAAAACATCTCTGGACGATTACACCTAATCCATGGCAAGATACGAAATTTGAGAGCGTCACTGAGGTCAATAGCATGAGCAGTATTTGTCCCTGTGGTTCAGTGTGTGTGTAACTATGACAACCAACCACGGCTGAAGACATGCAGATGCTTGCACTGCTGCTAGCCTGCATTATCTTGTTTGAGCTGAGTGCAATCTGGCACTGGTTACGCAAAAATACTGCACGCATGCAGAGTCATGAATAAATGGTTTAGAGTCAGGTTCATTTTGAGATGCTAACTTGGTAGAGGTTGGCTTAGCATTCATATGTTGCAGGTAAACAACAAGCAGGCAGTGACAACTTGACTAACAGTATGAAGGTGAGAAAGTGCTTGTTTAAAGTGTAAACTAAGGGATAGCTACAAGTTGTTAGGATGATTAAACTCTTAAGCCTTCAGTCAGCATCTTTCAACCACAAGGCTGTGTGTGATTCCATGGTTAGGACACCAGAGGGCGATTTTGATCTATGTTGAATGTATACTTGGCCTCACCATTACAGCCAGAAGGTAGGCCAATTTAATATGTTTTTTGGTCAATTGTACGAAGTGTAAAGAACATTTTCATACTGATAGGCTGTGTTACAGATTGCTCAATCAATTGATAACATTAATGTTGCCTTTAAAGCGGCAATCAGCAGTTGAAACAAAAAGGACCCCGTTTCGGTAAAAGGCTGAGGGATGGGGCTGGGGAAATGTGCAACCACTCAAATTCATAGAGCCATAGCTGCACGGACTGACCATTCATGATATCAACATTATAGTTTTAACCATGTTTAGAGGCTAGACAGTGTTTGTTACATTTACTTTGTTTACAAACATTGGAGTAAAAACAAGCTTATATTTTGGGTTCTGATGGGGTACGACAGTTGAACTAAGCTTATGAGGCATTTATAAGTAATATTCTTCAAGAATCAATGGGTACATATCATTCATTTATACGTCCAAAAATGTATGTAGCAACTGCAGATTGCCCCTTTAAAATGTAACCTTTTGAAACTGTGTGTGTGTGTGTGTACGCCTGGACGTATGCATCTCACCTGGTGTATGACGTAGATGCCGTAGTTGAGCTGCTGTCGCTGTAGGAACGGGTGAAGGTAATAGAGGAGGAACTTCAGGTGGTGCTCCCGGTTTCTGTGAGGAATGATTATGGCGGTGCGGTGCTGCGCCTCACAGTCAGGCGGCCTGTAGCGCCCCCCGCGGACCACCAATGGATTCTTCCTCGCCACTTGGGCCAGTGTCAGCCCGGAAGGAAAGTTGACGTGGATCGGTCCACCTGAAAAGAGAAACAGGGTGAGAAGAAGCCAGATGTCATAACAACATTTTATTGCTAGACCTATATCATAACACACACACCAAATAACTCAAAATCAGTAGGTTGTCCATGCTAGCATGCTCGTTCTAACAGTTTTTTTGGGATTTGAGATCAAATGTTTTACATGAGGCGACAGTACAGAATGCAGTGTTCCCCCTTTTATCAATTTCCCCTATATCCCTTCTGTTCTGTCGTCTCATATAAAACATTAAGCTCCAATCCAAAATGCTGCAGTATAGAGCCAAATGAAAAGGTTTTAGCTTCAGTGTCCAAATAAATACGTAGGAGAGCGTAGGTCTAGGCTATGTAGCCTATGTGCTTTGAAGTTTGTCACTTCACAAAGTCAGTAACCACTGCAAACAAATACCTGTAGAATATAAAAGGGCACAGCAAAACATTGTAGGAGCCTTTGCAAATCTCTTGGTTTCAGTGTGGCTATCCAAATTAGAAGGCAAAAAAGCAGGAAGTTGGACACAAGGTAAACTGACCTTCATTTGAACACAAGTATATTCAGTCCCTCTAGTCGAAGCGTACAACAAACACTCCTGTTGGGTCAGCCGCCACCAGGTCTCGGCTCAGTTTGAATGATCTCAAAGTCAAAACGCATCCTTCCTTCCCTTACTAGGGGCCATCATTGAACATTGATCAATTCCTGACTGTATACGTGAAGCCAAGGTTCCACCATATCATGTCTACTCAAAATTCTGGTAACTTTCCCAGAAATCCTGGTTGGAGGACTCCCGGAATCAGAACAGAATAAGCAGGAAATACAGAATTCTCCAACCAGGATTTCTACTACCGAAATTTTGCAAGCCCACTACCCATCCAACCTGGTCAGATCAGTAGCCAACTAACAAGCAAGGACAGTTGCATGTGTGGAATTATTTGGAAATTCCCTTCCACAACAAACCAACCGAGGCTTTCTGACTGCCCACATTTCGTTTCCTGGCACACTAATCAAGTATCTCAGCCACTTTCTTTTTCGAGAAAGTATTGTTCTGGCGTACATTGTAAAAAAACATTCCCTCTTCAGTTTCAGTCTGAAGAGGGAATGAAGTAAGAGATACGGGGAGGGCTGAGTAACTGAAGACGGCGGCTGGTGAACTCATAGAAATAGAATCGGGCTGCCAGTTCTAGGACTTCTATTTCTATGGGTGAACTCACCTATCAGGGGAGACGTCTTGGGGCAGTGGGGCATGTCCTCGACCCGGCCGTGGGCCTTGACAAGGAGGGACAAGTTGGCGTAGACGTCACTGCCCGTGTTGTTGCGTGAGTGGGGCGAGTCGGCACCAGACGTCCCCAACGCTGGTGTCTCCGGCTTGCGGAAAATCCGTATGAAGTACGACATTCGCTTGTGGTAGCCGTCGCGGGACAGCAGAGCCATGACGACGAGCTGGACACCCAGGAACATGAACAGGTAGCGCCATTTTGACTGTAGCCACATCGCCATCTCTGCTTCGCAACAAGGAACTTGGAGAGCGGTTTGGTGATTTGTTTGGCTTCGTTAGTCCTAGCGACCTACACTAGAGGAACGCTGTGAGAAAATGCTTACTTTGTGGCTGGGTAGAATATGGGGTGGGATTTTCAACAGTATGTATGGAGGTGTATGTTTTTACTGTAAACAAGTGTGCACTGTCAGTACTGTGCAACTGTGTATGATATGATAAGTACAACAGGACAATGGATATGGAGGTGTATGAATGAAAAGTGCAAAATCCTTAAAATATGTTGAAATAGTTTTCAGATATTGGAGTGTGATATGAAGTTAGATCAAGTTTATAGGAAAAGGACAGTGAGAAACCGTGAAGGCACTTTGGTTCAGCTGATCACTGCAGAAACCCCAAAAAATTAGGTTAAAAAAAAATATGGGGGAAAAAAATAGATCTTTATTGTGTCTATTTCAACCTCTTGTCCCACCACAAGTCGAGATGTGTCGATCTCCAAAGTCTGCTGGTGGCCCTCTGGTTCATCGATGGTGTGTGGTGGCTATGCCAGCCCAACATCATGCTACTAGAATTCCATCAGTGGTCCCAACCACCACCACAGCTCGTTTGTTTCCTGTAAACGGCTGACTGGGTGTTATTGTGCTGCCTTCTGTTACCTAGCAGTTAGCAACTCTCATGGGGGCCCTCCACACAAACAAAGCCACCAACAACAAAGGGAGCGTAGGCAGCTGTATAGGACCCTATCCTTTACAGAGGACTATGGTTTAGTTTGGTTTGACAAGGATGGCTGGCTGATTAGAGCGGTAGGAAGAAGGAGTGGACCGTAACCAGTACAGTGGGAGGAGGAGTGGTCAGGGGCTGGCTGTGTGTGTGTTAGGGGAAGGGTGTGGGGAAGGGGCAGACAGAGAGCAAAGAGAGGAAGGGGGAGGTCCGATGGCGACTGCGGCTATTGTCCCATTCTGACTGGCACACTCTGGGCTGAGAGATGCTTCCAAGGGGGAGGGGTCCACTGGGCCAGACGGACAGAGGCTCGGACCAATCACGAGAATGGAGCTCTGAAAGACAACAAGAGAGAAGTAGGTGGTTAAGAAATTGTTACGATTGATATCCTATAACAATCCATTGTTGCTGCTTGCATCTTTCCCAATTAGACTAACTGTTTACCACATAAATGATGCACAGCCGGAACAAACAGCTTGTTTGTTTTCAGCTAAACAGCCCAGCTGGAGAGAGCCAGGAGGAATCAGGCACAATGGGGGCTCCAATATGGACGCCTTCGCAGACAACACACCACTGGCAGTAACCGAGGAGCAGAAAGAAACGCGAGCTCAGAGGAGCTAAAGCGATTCAGAGAATCAAGATAGAAAGCAGTGGTCGTTCTATCTCTAGGAAAACGTCCTACTACCACTCAGACCTCGACCCCTCAGACAGACCATGGCACGATCGTGGGTCGTTAAACGGTCCTGCTACTTGTGTTCAAGTAATCCTCCGTCCTTGCGCTGGCTATCTGTTGGAAAGTACCCAACACGTCAGCACTCACGGATAAATTAGTGCTCATTAAAGATGTCAGCCTCAGACTAACTCTAATCCAAATCCCACATGGAGCCCAGGGATTGGCAGAATGGTAGAGAGATACAGCGTTGCAGAAAACAGGATGAGTGCGTGTATAACAATAATAATATTATTATTATTATAATAATATATGCATCAGGGTTTCTGTTAGCCAGTAATAGCCAGCTTTTGGCCATTAAAAAAATAGAAACGCTGATAAATAAATTGGCACCGGCCAATTGTCCAGGAGAAGGTAATAAATCCCATTGCGAAATAATGCTTTTTAGCCTATTCATTGATGGAAAAACCAGTTGATGGAAATACATTTGACCAGTCATGCTTATCGATCAATGGGGCAATTTGCATAATTTTGTGGAATTAAATTGGCGCGTATATTCGTTATGTATCACACGCATGGCATACAGACACAGCCTTTTATCGGAAAATCTGTCAGCTAGCACTTTTACAAGCCCAATCACTGCACAACATTTCTAAATGTAATCGTCTGTTAAAAATAGTTTTTGGCCCACGATTAAAAAGTGCTTCACACTACCGGTCCAAAGTTTTAGAACACCTACTCATTCAAGGGTTTTTCTTTATTTTTTTAAACTATTTTCTACATTGTAGAATAATAGTGAAGACATCAAAACTATGAAATAACACATATGGAATCATGTAGTAACCAAAAAAAGTGTATTTTATATTTGAGATTCTTCAAACAGCCACCCTTTGCCTTGATGACAGCTTTGCATACTCTTGGCATTCTCTCAACCAGCTTCATGAGGTAGTCACCTGGAATACATTTCAATTAACAGGTGTGCCTTCTTAAATGTTAATTTGTGGAATTTATTTCCTTCTTAATGCGTTTGAGCCAATCAGTTGTGTTGTGAGAAGGTAGGGGGGTATACAGAAGATAGCCCTATTCGGTAAAAGACCAAGTCCATATTATGGCAAGAACAACTAAAATAAGCAAAGAGAAATGACAGTTCATCATTACTTTAAGACATGAAGGTCAGTCAATACGGAACATTTCAATAACTTTGAAAGTTTCTTCAAGTGCAGTCGCAAAAACCATCAAGCGCTATGATGAAACTGGCTCTCATGAGGACCACCATAGGAATGGAAGATCCAGAGTTACCTCTGCTGCAGAGGATTAGTTCATTAGAGTTACCAGCCTCAGAAATTAATGCTTCACAGATTTCAAGTAACAGACATCTCAACATCAACTGTTCAGAGGAGACTGTGTGAATCAGGCCTTCATGGTCGAATTGCTCCAAAGAAACCACTACTAAAGGGACACCAATAAGAAGAGACTTGCTTGGGCCAAGAAACACGAGCCATGGACATTAGACCGGTGGAAATTTGTCCTTTGGTCTGGAGTCCAAATTGGAGATTGTTGGTTCCAACTGGCGTGTCTTTGTAAGACGCGGTGTGGGTGAACGGATTATATCCGCATGTGTATTTCCCACCGTAAAGCATGGAGGAGGTGGTGTTATGGTGTGGGGGTGCTTTGCTGGTGACAATGTCTGTGATTTCTTTAGAATTCAAGGCACACTTAACCAGCATGGCTACCACAGCATTCTGCAGCGATACGCCATCCCATCTGGTTTGAGCTTAGTGGGACTATCATTTCCTTTTCAACAGGACAATGACCCAACACACCTCCAGGTTGTGTAAGGGCTATTTTACCAAGGAGAGTGATGGAGTGCTGCATCAGCTGACCTGGCCTCCACAATCCCCCAACCTCAACCAAATTGAGATGGTTTGGGAGTCGGACCGCAGAGTGAAGGAAAAGCAGCCAACCCAAGTGCTCAGCATATGTGGGAACTCCTTCAAGACTGTTGGAAAAGCATTCCAGGTGAAGCTGGTTGAGAGAACGCCAAGAGTATGCAAAGCTGTCATCAAGGCAAAGGGTTGCTTTTTGAAGAATCTCAAATATCTATTTTGATTTGTTTAACCCTTTTTTGGTTACTACATTATTCCATATGTGTTATTTCATAGTCTTGATATCTTCACTATTATTCTACAACGTAGAAAATAGTAAAAATAAAGAAAAACCCTTGAATGAGTAGGTGTTCTAAAACTTTTGACCAGTAGTGTGTATATACAGTGGGGAAAAAAAGTATTTAGTCAGCCACCAATTGTGCAAATTCTCCCACTTAAAAAAATGAGGCAGGCCTGTAATTTTCATCATAGGTACACGTCAACTATGACAGACAAATTGAGGAAATAAAATCCTGAAAATCACATTGTAGGATTTTTTATGAATTTATTTGCAAATTATGGTGGAAAATAAGTATTTGGTCACCTACAAACAAGCAAGATTTCTGGCTCTCACAGACCTGTAACTTCTTCTTTAAGAGGCTCCTCTGTCCTCCACTCGTTACCTGTATTAATGGCACCTGTTTGAACTTGTTATCAGTATAAAAGACACCTGTCCACAACCTCAAACAGTCACACTCCAAACTCCACTATGGCCAATACCAAAGAGCTGTCAAAGGACACCAGAAACAAAATTGTAGACCTGCACCAGGCTGGGAAGACTGAATCTGCAATAGGTAAGCAGCTTGGTTTGAAGAAATCAACTGTGGGAGCAATTATTAGGAAATGGAAGACATACAAGACCACTGATAATCTCCCTCGATCTGGGGCTCCACGCAAGATCTCACCCCGTGGGGTCAAAATGATCACAAGAACGGTGAGCAAAAATCCCAGAACCACACGGGGGGACCTAGTGAATGACCTGCAGAGAGCTGGGACCAAAGTAACAAAGCCTACCATCAGTAACACACTACGCCGCCAGGGACTCAAATCCTGCAGTGCCAGACGTGTCCCCCTGCTTAAGCCAGTACATGTCCAGGCCCGTCTGAAGTTTGCTAGAGTGCATTTGGATGATCCAGAAGAGGATTGGGAGAATGTCATATGGTCAGATGAAACCAAAATAGAACTTTTTGGTTAAAAACTCAACTCGTCGTGTTTGGAGGACAAAGAATGCTGAGTTGCATCCAAAGAACACCATACCTACTGTGAAGCATGGGGGTGGAAACATCATGCTTTGGGGCTGTTTTTCTGCAAAGGGACCAGGACGACTGATCCGTGTAAAGGAAAGAATGAATGGGGCCATGTATCGTGAGATTTTGAGTGAAAACCTCCTTCCATCAGCAAGGGCATTGAAGATGAAACGTGGCTGGGTCTTTCAGCATGACAATGATCCCAAACGCACCACCCGGGCAACGAAGGAGTGGCTTCGTAAGAAGCATTTCAAGGTCCTGGAGTGGCCTAGCCAGTCTCCAGATCTCAACCCCATAGAAAATCTTTGGAGGGAGTTGAAAGTCCGTGTTGCCCAGCGACAGCCCCAAAACATCACTGCTCTAGAGGAGATCTGCATGGAGGAATGGGCCAAAATACCAGCAACAGTGTGTGAAAACCTTGTGAAGACTTACAGAAAACGTTTGACCTGTGTCATTGCCAACAAAGGGTAATAACAAAGTATTGAGAAACTTTTGTTATTGACCAAATACTTATTTTCCACCATAATTTGCAAATAAATTCATAAAAAATCCTACAATGTGATTTTCTGGAGAAAAAAATAATCTCAATTTGTCTGTCATAGTTGACGTGTACCTATGATGCAAATTACAGGCCTCTCTCATCTTTTTAAGTGGGAGAACTTGCACAATTGGTGGCTGACTAAATACTTTTTTTCCCCCACTGTAGCCTAGGCCTACTGGTTTTATGAACTTAGGATCTATCATCCCACAACTGTCCCAGTCTCTGTTTGGGCTAATTCTTTCTTGACAAGCTGACCAATAAAATTGGTAAACGTTTCTACTATAGTAGATTGACATAGGCTCATAAGCAGCACAACCATAAGGCTAGGGAAAGCTAAGTAAATTGAATAATTGTCAAAATGATGTAGCCTAATTAGTCCTACTCCCGTTGTCTATACAGAAAGAAAATAATTCTAAATAGGCTACTAAAGCATGATTTGGCCACAAAGGATCATTAGCTTCCCCTAGCCTTAAAAAAAAAAGTTGTATGTTGTTTTAAATCGCATTGCCTACAGTTGGAAGGAAAGGCAGCCTGCACAATTTGGGCAGCGCGCGCTGCAAATACCAAATCGATCATTTCAAATCAAATGTTATTTGTCGAATGCACCAAATACAAACAGGTGTAGACTTCACCGTGAAATGCTTACTTCAAAAAAAGTTCAAAAAATGTGCTAAATGAACTAAAGGAAAAATATGATTGTTGAGTTGCGACGGTCAGTAAAAAGTAGAGGCCCAGCCAGGCATATTGCAATATTTCAAAATACAAAATGCAAATGGCTATTTTGCTGTAAAGACAATGAAAATACTAATCTGTCTTTTAGTTGAGCGAAACAACAGTAGACCCATAGCCTATCTTATTGGCACCAGCGGAGAGCATCGGCCATATCCCTAGTGAGTGCGCACTCTGCATATTCACTCTTTATAATCGTTGGGTCAGTGCCACTTAAAAGTTTAGATGGATGTCATATTGTATGTGTCTCCCCTTCTCATAGGCCTATTATATGGACAACGTTGTTTTTATTGAAGGTCAGTGTCGGAGTAGGC